GTTGGAATCCAATATTTAATGGATGTTATTATACATATAAACCCTCCTCTTCAATGACTTTATGTACTAAAAAACCGCATCAAAAAAGTTTTAAAGATTTAATCATACATAGGGACATAGGGACAGAGCAAGCAACTTTGTTTTATACTATGTACCTAGTGATACTGGTTGATCTGAAAGCCATTAGAGGACATTAATGAGCTGGTTAAAATTTAGAGCCAGTAAGAAAATAAATCCAATCTAATATTATAAATGCGAAAGTAACTCTGTCTGTCTGTCTTTTTTTCACGCCTAAACTACTGAACCGATTTCTGTGAAATTTGGTACAGACAGAGACAAACCTTCTCCGTGTGAGAAGAGGCCTTTGCTCAGCAGTGGGCACTTATAGGCTGATGATGATGATGATGATGATGATGATGATGATTGGTACAGACATAATTTGGAGCTCGAGAAAGGACATAGGATAGTTTTTTAGCAAAAATCTGCAAGAAGTCACTATTCCACGCGAACGGAGTCGCGGGCAAAAGCTAGTTATCTATAAAAAATAAAACCCAACAATTAAAACAAACAAAAAAATAAACGTATTATAGCCACATTACTATTAAACACGAGTACAACCCTATAATTGTTGTATAAAAGTAAGGTGCGCATGCGCAACTAACTGTGACTGCTAAATCGGTGGTAAATTATCACGCTTACACATCAAGGTTATGGGAAGAAAGGTTGAAATTGTGTTAGAGATTATGTTTTGGAGGTAACAAGATGTACCTAGGTTTTTTTTGTATTTTGGGTTGAAATACAGCAGTGTGATTCTGTAAGACTTCATTCTAAACTTCGAATCTGAATCCGCCGTGAGTAGTAGTACACTAGCGCTACACTTGCGAGTTGAACTAAATTGACAGCATCATTTTGAAAGATAAAGTATGAGATGACGTTAAAAGTGGCATTCTAAAATTTATTTTCCCGTCACCTCGACGCTCACTTCGCACTCGAACACGATTCAAAATCAAACTAATTTTATAGAATCGACGTGCAGGTTATATTATTACCAAATAATACGATATTATTTATAAAAAAATTGATATCGTTGTTAAATGATAAATTAACTGTGTTTTTGTCATTACAGTTCTTCAATGAAACAATGAATTTATTTTTGCAAATAGGCCTTAAAACGGCACTTTTACACGTCAATTTATATGTGAAAAACTAGATGAAGCCGGCATTTCCTATCTGACTACTCTGAGAAGAAATGCCGAAACCAACTCAGAGGTCAGTTCTTCTACTAGACTAAATAAATTCAGCGTAAAGGCTGGTTTTTCTATACTAATATTATAAAGAAGTAAAATTTGTAAGTTTGTATACAGGGGGTAATCTTTTGAACCGCTGGTCGCATTGCCAAAATTCTTTCACTGATAGATAGCTACAATGTTCCTGAGTGCTATAGGCTATAAAACATCACGCTACGATCAAATGGAGCTTAGCAGCGGGTGAAACGGCGCGAGAGTAGCTCGTTTGTGATATGGCGACAAACGATGTGAATAATTACCTGATGGTAAGCAATCACAACACCAGGATTGGGTATCAGATATTTAGGGAATGCTGTTTTGGAGGGGAAAGATACCTCTAGCCTCCGGTAAATTCACTCACACGATGAAACAATGCTGTGGTATTTTTTTTACTGATTAATTCATCAAAGCCAAAAAAAAAACGCGGGCGTTCGCGCTCGATTGAAATTGAAAGCGTAAATCTTCTCCCTGTGAGAAGAGATCTTTGCTCAGCAGTGGGCACTTATAGGCTGTTAATAATCTGAGATATTGTGATCATTTTATTATGTGTTACCAATCGAGAAAAATAATAAATAACAATTTATTTATTATGTAGAGATTCTTACCAATAGAATTTCTCTTCATAAATTATGTATGTATATGTTTACATGTATATGTTTGTATGTTTGAATAATTTCTACAACGCCTATAGATAATTAATTTTATGCCTAAATATGATAATTCCGTTTTCGAATAATGAATTATGCCAATACTTTTCCTTTTTGTAATAAGTTTTCTCTTATTTCGATTTGTAGGTAAAAGTTGTATTGGGAGTTTTGGATTCGAAAGTTTTTACTTTGTAATTTTTGTTTGTTTTTATTAATATTCAATATTTTCTTTTGAACCATACTCTGTTTGAATGGAAGCTTTGAATCTAACATCATCATCATCAGCCTATAAGTGTCCACTGCTAAGCAAAGGCCTCTTCTCACACGGAGAAGGTTTGAGTATTACTCACTCAGGAATAGTGACTTCCTGTAGACTTCTGATAAAAAAAAACTATCCTATGTCGTTTCTCGAGTTCCAAACTATGTCTGTGACAAATTTTACAGAAATCGGTTCAGTAGTTTAGGCGTGAAGAAAAGACAGACAGACAGAGTTACTTTCGCATTTATAATATTGGTTTGGATCTTTCTAAATACGCGTGTTTTTTTGTGATCGGATGGCAAACGACCTGCATTTTTGGGAATAATATTGCTTCAAGAATTTTAGGGATTGGGGAGGGGAAAGATTGGGCCTCCTGTAACCTCACTCATACGGAGATTACAGCGCCTTTTTGCGCTACCCCTCGCCGTCCGTAGATTCGCGCTTATACTTGGATCACACTTACGTGACATGCCATTAATTATGGCGATAATTGATGATATGAAGCAATGAAAAATATACCTTAACAATTTTTTTTATGTAGTAGGTCGGCAAACGAGCACATGGATTACCTGATGGTAAGCAATCAGCGCCGCCCATGGACGCTTGCAACGGAGGAGTTACGAGTGCGTTGCCGACCTTTTATGGATTAGGGATTTGGAGATTTAGGGATTGGGGGAGGGGAAGGATTGGGCCTCCTGTAACCTCACTCACACGGCGAAACACAACGCTGTGGTTCTTTCACGTCGGTTTTCTGTAAGGCCGTGGTATCACTCCGGTCGAGCCGACCCCTTCGTGCCTAAGCTTGGCTCTCCCACACTTATCTACTGTCATTTGTTTAGAGATCAAATAACACCTACGATTAACGTTCATTATGTCGATAATTAATGACATTTCCCGTTAGTGTGAGCCAAGCATTACGGTGACCAGAATCTAAGATCAGGTAGGTATTCTTTGAGGCCGTGGTATGCCAGTCAAGCCGACCCATTCGTGCCGTAGCTCGTCTCTAAGCGAAAATCTTATAAATGAATAGAATAAATAGTCTTTCTATGTACATAATATTTCAAGGAAAAAATTTAGCGAATTGATGTAAATTGGTATCTAAATATTGCATATTATTATGATGACACTTTCTTTCTTTACGTAATCTGTATAGATATCGTCGTCTGAGTGGTCATTGAAACATCGTGATCGCTCATAACTTAGACCGCCCGTCACAAAATTTGGCAAGTACCAATGTGACTTTTTCCGAGTCATATGTACTTTCTATGATTATTTAGACACCACTGACTGACATCGTTAAGGAAAAACATCGTGAGGTAACCCTTTTCTTTTTTTTTTGTCAGGGGAAAATCATCCAATGACTTCTACCGCCCAGGGTAAGGCGAGAGAGAGTGTCAGACTCTTACTGACTAAAAACCCCCCTGTTCCTTCTCCTGCTCTTGGCCGAGGTCGCGGTGCCTCATTGCGCTTACCCCGCAACCCCGGCTGGTGAGGATCCGCCTTGAGCAAGCGTTGTGGTTAATGCACAAATCTTCTTAGTGTGAGAAGAGGTGTTTGCTCAGCAGTGGGCACTTATAAGCTGATGATGTCATGTGATGTGACCATCAACAGCCAATGACATCCCACTGGATAAGAGGCATCATACACATAAGGGGTTTTTCTACTAGTTCGGCAAACGAGCAGACGGATTACCTGATGGTAAGTAGTCGACTCTGCTCATGGATGCTCGCAACACTATAGAAAGGACTGCGTAGTCAGCCTTTATGGGGGAACAATATCTTTCACGACAGTCCGTCAAAATCTTCACTTTTTAGAAGCTAATTGGAGATTGTAGTTTAAAAGGTCCAAGTTTGAAGAGAGAGCGTCTGTGATTTTAAAAATATTATTTGCTTTAAGATAAATTGCGAGCAAGTGTAGTCAAGGGAAAAGATGTTCTGCGGCCTTGGCTTAGAGTAGGAGAAGGGACGGGGGGGTTTTTAGTCAGTAAGAGTCTGACACTCTCTCTTTCTAACCAGGCCGTGAGACGTTATTTGATAAATGGTTTTCTACACCTAAAAAAAAGTTGTGTAGTTTTATTTTAGGTACTACTTAATATTATTGTGATTGTAATTTATAATTATGTATCATTGCCCAAACGACTTTATTTGTAGTTTACAATCTAATAAAATATGCATTTTTTTTAAATATTATTTTAAATTAATCTGCTTATAAATCTTCGAAATGAAAATAATCATAATAATATAGATTGTCAAAATGGTTTTTACGAATGTTACTCGTGAACTGCTGTAGCGAATTCGATAAATCGTAGGTAACATGTTCTTTAGTATCAAAATAATTGATAAATTAATTTAGAAAGTATGTAGAGTGATTAATTTTAAATTTCGTATTAAATTAAAAATGTTGAACTTAAATTAATTAATAATTAATTATTATTTAATAATTATGTACAAACACATATGTACACAAAGTTTATTAAATAAATAAATAGGTACTTAAATAAGTTGTGCGTGTGCCAGGAATATAATTAAAAAAAAACTTGTACGGCTTGGCGCAAACAGCTGGCTTTTAAAAAAAACCTATCAAAAATTATATAAATTATCTTTTAAAACAAAACAATATCGGTGTTCCATGAAATTTGAAATTAACTAAACTGAACTTTCTAATTCAAAATTGCTTAATTTTGCAGTTTATATTTCCTATTTTTTAACAGCAAACATAAAATTATGGCGGGAATTTTACGGCACTCAAAAACAATGTGAATTAACCCAATTACCTATTTTTGAATTAAAAAAATTAACATTAATTTACCTTCCCAACTCCTCCTCTCTTTCTCCACTTCATCTTCGAAGCCGTCCAGCATTTTCCCAGCTTTCTCTCGGGCACACTCCCAAGCCTCGTTTTGGCCAACACATTCTAAAATAGACAGCAAATTCGGTGCCAAATTTTTCCCTAAACTCACGAAATATTCATAGCCCTGCTCCAAAATCGATGCACTTTGGGCTTCATAACAAAATAATAATAAAAAAACGAAAACGTATCTCGGCGCCATCTTTTTTTTTCTATTTAATTCATGTGGCAACACTCACGTTCGCGCGCGAGACAGTACTGAGAAGCGCGGGTAATCGATTCTAGTTTTATTGACTACGTATACTTTCTTTTTTCGGAGGGGCGGGTTAAGCTGAGGTCTGGAATTCGATGGGTGGGTATCCGTGGGTCGTGTGTGCTATGGGTATTTTATGGAAATTGTGCGAAACGTTATTTTTTTGCGTAATTATTGGAAAGCATGAAGCATGGCAGGCATGATTGTTACGCCATTGTTTTAGGTGACTTAAGTGAAATTTTTGTTAAGTTTGATAATTAATTATAGAATTTTAATTGTTATAAAAATAGTCGTAATATTATATTGTAATGTTACGTTTGTTATTTAAAAGTAAAAGTTTTATTATTCGTAGGTGAAAATAACATTTTATTTGATGTTACTTGGGGCTATTATTATATGACCTACTTTGTCAGTTTATCACTATATCGATTAAGTAGTTTTCACCTTGATATCTTCTGAAATGACTGATTTAACCACAGACTAGTTTCTTGAAATTTCTTCACCTCAAATACCTAATATCTTCTGATTTATTTCGTTGCGGGATCCAAGACAGTCATTCATGTCCCTGGGTCGCGCCGGACTCAGTGTCCCGGTGTTTTCATGGTTGTATCTACTGTAGATTCTGAGATGCAGGAGTTGTAACATTTTTAGGAGGATGTGGCGAGCTTGACCCATTTTTATATCAGTTTCTGTTTGTGTTCATGTTATTTTTTTATAATTTTCTACTCCCGCGTTTTTTTCAGTTGTTTCCTATTGGTTGCAGTGCGTGTGCGATGTTTTATAATCTTTAGCTTTACTGGACTAAATGGACTTTGTGTGTTGAATTAGACCAATTTTTTGTGTGTTGAACACAGCACCAGCAGTTCCTGGATATTAGTACCTACCTACTTTGAAACCAATACTCAACCTTTATCTTAGAAAAATAAAATTCGTTTTGAAATTAACTCGGTTTTTTATTTATTGAGTGTAACTTAAAACTGACAGATAATAGATGAAAATAAATACAATTAACATGATATCTGCTAACTCTTTCTCGCACAAAAAGTGTCTTGTTCTGAATTAAACTTGAAGTCAAGATGCGTGACACATAAACGAATGAAGTCTACCAACGCCATCTGTTGAGATCAATATAAACTAACCAAGTATATAGTTACGTCGCTTCAAAACTAGATGTCGCTACGAACGCTATAATTTTCTACTATGATTATTGTTTGTTGTTCTGGGTCGCTTGTTTAGCACGAATATGCACGTAATAATAATTACAATGTTTTCACCTTGATATCTTCTGAAATGACTGATTTAACCACAGACTAGTTTCTTGAAATTTCTTCACCTCAAATACCTAATATCTTCTGATTTATTTCGTTGCGGGATCATGTCATAGAGTTGTAATGATGATCATTCATGATCATCATTACAACTCTATGGCTCGATGTCAAAAAGACAGATCATAATTTTTTCTCTCGCAAACATTTTTATTGAATTATAATATAAATACGGCTGACAAACAATATAAATACAAACGGAATATGGAAATCAAAATAATAATAACAAAAACATGTGGAAAACGGAACAATAAATAGTTAATATGAAAAAGCGAAAAAAGGACGTCTGTTGAGACCATGTTGACAAGAGCCGCAGCACGCCGTGCACGCCCACCACCTCCGGCCTCGTCGCTCAGCTCCGCCTCGCCGCCGCCGGAATCCAGCCCCATCGGGAGTGATGTAACACCGGCCGTGGCAGCTGCGTCGAGCTCCAGCGACGAGTACTACTCACCGCCGACGACACCACCACCTACGCGTCGCCGGGGAGGACGCCGGCCGCCGGCCCGCTTAGGACCTCGAGGCCCACCGGCTTCTGATAGGGTCCCAGCCGCCGGCGGAAGTGTGCAGCGCATGCGATGGACGCAATCAATAAACGAAAACGTCATGCGCGCATACTATGGGGCTACAGAGGGAGGAAACAACCTGACCGCGTACCGTGTTCGGATGCTCTCTCTGTTTCAGGTGCTTGAGCCAGCCGTCAACGTATCAGCTCAACGACTGTCGGATCAGGTGCGGGTCATCCAGCGTAACCGTATGCTGGACGATACTGTGCTTGATCGCCTTCAAACGGAAATGGGTAGCCGTGCCAGTGCCTCCTCGTCGCGGACTGTGGTGCCAGCGACTTTGCCACTGACCAGCCACGGTATTGTTAGTGCCGTCGCTGATGAGGAAAGTACTGATACGGTTGCACACGTAAGTACCGAGTGCATTGATGAATTGAGGAGTGCTTTGGAATGTGCGATTCGGGAATATCGCTACATATCACCCGAACTCAGACCACGCTTGCCTCGTTTGCCCATGCATAACAAGAATAAAGCGCTGGTGGCTGCACTGGATTCGCAGTTATCTAATTATTTAGATGACTGCGAAGACCTCGGTGATACACACTCGATAATGTACTGCGCGGCCGTAGCGGCATGTCGTGTGGCTCACGTCAAATTCCCTACTAATGACGTAACCACACGACCGAAACCAGCTGTACCGGCCTGGCAGCGCAGGATTGAGTGTCGTATTGCTGGGGCCAGAGCACTCATCGGCAAATTAATCTGCTTCAGGGAGGGTAATACCCGCCCCAGAGTGATGCGCTTTGTGAGACGGGCATTTTCGGGGACAGATATCAGCCCCCGAGACTATATGTCCCGCGTCACAGAGCGCATCGACTTTCTGAAGCAGAAGGTATATGCATGGGCAAACCGTATTCGGAGGTACAGGCGACGGGTGGAACGATATACCCAGAATCGCACATTCCGGAGTAATGAAAGGTGGGTGTATAGGACTTGGGAGCGACCGGACCATGGTGTGACTGATAGACGCCTCCCGGATGATGACGCCATGTGTTCATTCTGGCGCAGCATCTGGTCGGTGCCTGTCAGTCACACTGAGGATGACTGGATTCGGGATGTCGAACGCGCGTGCGATCCAATACCACAAATGGGGACAATTAACATCAGTCCCCAAGATGTTGCTCGTGCAGTCCGTCCGTTGCCTAACTGGAAATCTCCAGGGCCGGATGGACTGCACAATTTCTGGATCAAGTGGTTCACAAGGGCGCACGCTCGTTTAGCATCTCAATTCCAGTCTGCCGTAGAGTCAGGATCGCTGCCCAAGTTTCTAACGACAGGAGTAACCCACCTGCTCCATAAATCAGGTAGTACTGCGGAACCCAAAAATTATAGACCGATCACGTGTCTGCCGACGGTCTATAAAGTTCTTACATCCATACTGAGAAGTAAAATTAATAGTCATATTGACAAAAATAAAATCATGTCAACTGCTCAGAATGGATGTAAGAACGGATCCCGCGGTACTAAGGAGCTACTCCTCATTGATATGGCCATCAGCCAACAGGTTCGACGTGCCCGTAAGGATCTGTCGACATGTTGGATAGACTATAAGAAGGCCTATGACTCTATTCCTCATACATGGCTCATGAGGGTGTTGGAATTGTATAAAATTGATACAATACTACGCACCTTCCTGATGTCCTGTATGAGGCAATGGAGTACGGTCCTTCGCTATCCGGGATGTCGACATACCCAAAGGAACAGCGAACCTGTAAGGATCGAGCGTGGTATATTCCAGGGTGATAGCTTGAGTCCGCTTTGGTTCTGCCTAGCCTTGAATCCCCTAAGCACACTCCTAGAGAATTCAGGCCTAGGCTACCGGTTGAAGAGAGGTGGTCAGGTTATATCTCACCTCCTTTACATGGATGACTTGAAGCTTTTTGCCCCCAACAAACTGCAACTGATGGAGCTACTCAAGCTAACTGAAACCTTCAGTAGTGCCATCAGGATGGAGTTTGGTGTGGACAAATGTGCGATCATGCATGTAAAACGAGGGGAGGTTGTGGAATCTGTGGGAACTCAACTCACGGATTCCATAAACCTGAGGTCCCTCTCTCCAACAGAAACCTATAAGTATTTGGGTATGTCGGAAGCTTTAGGCATCAATGTCACTGACATGAAGCAATAGCTGAAGGAGCGTTTCTTTGGTCGCCTGAAGAAGGTATTTAATAGCTTTCTTTCAGGTGGAAACAAAGTGCGCGCCTTCAACGGTTGGGTCATGCCGGTATTGATGTACTCTTTCGGCGTACTCAAATGGTCTCAAACTGAACTGGACGCCCTGGATAGGCAAGTCCGAACAATGCTGACTGCATACCGAATGCATCATCCGCGGTCGTCGGTGATGAGACTGTATATCCCGCGGAAGTGTGGGGGCCGAGGCTTTTTAAATGCCAAGACCCTACACAACCGCGAGGTATGTAGTCTCAGGGAATATTTCCTAGCTGCCGACGTGGATATGCATCGAGATGTAGTGGCAGTGGACAAAGGTCTCACCCCGCTCTCCCTGGCTATCGAGAACTGGCGCAAACCCGTCGTACTTGACACTAACGCTCGCAGGGAAGTATGGCAGAGCAAGGAGCTTCACGGACGCTTTTTCCGAGCCCTACATGGACCGGATGTAGACCAGGTGGCGTCCGTAGCCTGGCTGCGTTTTGGTGACCTCTTTGGGGAAACCGAAGGGTTTGTCTGTGCAATTATGGACGAAGTTATCATGACGAATAACTACCGGAGATTTATTGTGAAGGACGGCACGGTTGACATCTGTCGGGCATGTCACCGTCCGGGAGAATCAATTCGTCACATAATCTCTGGTTGTTCTCGTCTAGCTAACGGCGAGTACTTGCATAGGCACAACCTTGTAGCCAGGATAATACATCAGCAGCTTGCTCTGAAATACTCTCTTGTGGAATCGGAAGTGCCGTACTACAGGTATGAGCCCGACCCAGTCCTTAATAATGGTCATATCACCTTGTACTGGGACCGGTCTATCATCACTGACAGGACTATTGTGGCCAATAAGCCTGATATTGTGGTGGTGGACCGGAAGGAGAGGCGTGCAATGATTGTTGACATAGCCGTCCCACATGACGAGAACCTTGTGAAAGCCGAG